TTTAAAATGCTTCTCCTTTACTTCGCACATTCTCTCCAGAGGGCCACTGGTGGCTTATACTGTATGCATAGATGTAAAGAGTCCGGCGACGTGAAACAATGTAATTATTTTGCTGAAGACTATTTTGACGCTTCTGAGTTCTTCCATTAAATGTGTTGAGGATACGGCTGCGTGTTCTCAGTCGCCCTCCAGCTTCAAACAGTTAGCAAGCCATTTAGTCGGCTCATATATAGGTTTGCCTTTTAGTGCCGCTATTGATCGCAAGGGAAGGTCTGGTTTATGGATTTTGATAGACCCCAGGGAGTGCTGCTCAACTTCCTCTAGACTTGAGAAGAAGATGACTCGACCGCTGGGACAACACATTTATTCGCCTGACGTTTCGACATCCGTAGCGGATTCGTCATCGGAAGCATGAGCAGGAAACAGTAGCAGAAAACGGGTCAGACTTATCTGTCGCCAATCGTCTTCAGATATTGCCTGTCGGTTCATCATTAGGTTAAGGCTCTGGGTGATCTTCCTTACGCGTGTTTACATGGAGTCAGTGTCGACGACTCTGTATGATTGGTTGCCGTTCGGTTCTTCATCTACTTTCACTACGTAATCCAACTTGTCCAACCCCACGGTCGACCACCCTTTGTCGAAAAGGAACAATCACAATGTAACAGTTCCTTTTTGACGTTGACCTCGGCTGGGATAGTTTAACATGACCTGTGGGATACGAATCCTTGGCGAAGCCGACTTCTTGTTTTTTATGTAGTCTGCGTCTTTGGTAGTGTCAATCCAAGTGCGACGATAAATCTAGTGAATGCGCGTCTCCAATATTGCAGCCGGAATCATGTTAAGACAGTTTTATATGATTATCTGTAAACCGTTTGAATATTTATTTATATCACTCAAACGAAGCTTGCTTGCCTTGCAAAGTCAAAAGATCGTTGTGAAACTATTCCTGAGTGAATACAAATAATTATCGTGTTCATCGTCTCCCAAAGAAGAGAAAGAAAAAGAGGGGGCTGGTTCGTGGACCAAATTACATTTGGACTGTCGTTTCAAAAGCCCACTCGCTTCCATCCTCAGAGTACCATGCTTTCTCTTCCGTGGGCCTTGAGTGAAATCACCTTGCCGCTAATCTTTTGTTGTACTCGTGTTCCCTGAATGTGTGTTCGCCTGCCTGCTGGCCCCCGGTTGGCTCCAATGTGCTTGCTGCCGACCAATGGCGGGTTCGCATCAGTCCAACTATAATTTGGTCCACGAACCCGCCCCCTCTTCCTCTTCTTTGGGAGACGATGAACGCGATAACATAGCTGGACCCCGAATCTTTAAACATAAAAATAATTATCTATGTATAGAGCAGCACGGCCGACAAATACATAGGTGAGTGGTCACCAGTCAGCGATAGTCAACCCCAGCAGTGGCGATCCCCGAGGTTCGAAACTGCAAACTTGTTAGCTGGAAGTCCAACGCTCTAACCATTGCGCCACGGGCTCGTTGCCTCGCCGGTTTCTATCGGAAATGTACACAATGGTAGATAGGCGACACCGACCGGTTACGCAACTCACTCGTCTTTGGGGCACGCTCTTGATTTCTAACATGCTATAGGCAGCTAGTTCACTGGCGTGGGAGACAGTGAGTTGTAGTTTGTTTGGGAGTGGGGCAGGGCGGAACAATTTCGTCTGACGACGAATCTTTAGTTCTCCTACGTCCCGTTATCAAGGCTCTCTGTCTTGTTGGTTCTAACCAGGAATATTGCGTGGCGGAAAAAGCATCTATCAGTCATGTTATGGGAGCTGCTGATCCTACACTCCCTTGGGACTTCGTGTGGAGACTTCAAAAGCAGTCAAATAAGGACACATAGCGAACGCAGGGGAGCTGACGAGGCCGTCGGATGGACTTTATTGTGCGATTTATCAAATCTCACATACATAAGTGACCGCTAGTAATTGACTGCAAAAAAGAGATAATTTCATTAAGGAATTGAAAATGTAAGTCAGGCTTCAGACGAGCCTGCAGAAAAAAACGTAGACTTAGTTAGATGTCGACAAAAAGGTACAACAGCATCGGGTAGCGTTCATTTCCCGATTTATTAGCATCCACTATGGTGATTCATTGTAGATACTTTTATTCTTTTATTGTGGTTGTCACTTGGACTACATTAATTACCTTCGAAATTGTTACATTCGATTCTGTTCCAAAAAAATTGTAATTTTTATTTCTGAGTTCTCTGGTTCCTTACTGATGCCTGAATTCAAATTGTATTTCAGGTGGTTTGTTCACCGAAGAAGACTTGCAACGAATGTACCTCAACTAAGTGAGTCACCACCTGCCATAGACATTGAATATTCAAATTGTGCATGCATGAAACTACTGCAAAAAATAAGATGTCCCTCAAAGTCTCCTTGAAAAGCACTTTTAAACTTTATAACAATGAAAAATTGAACAACCTCCGTGGCAACATGGTTATTTAAAAACCCTCACATATGCCAAAAAATCCGCTTATTTTTAATCTAGATTTCCCGGGAGCCGTCATCGAGAACTGACGCCTAAACCAGTCATTTGTCTTTGAAGTGCCTTTCCGCCAACTCCGCAGATATCATTTTTTCATTATTGTATCATGTTTCTTTGTTTTACACACTGCTCTGTGTGTAATTTAGTTAATAATAGACCTGGTAACGTGATTCGAGTTCTCTTCTTTATAAACTTGCCTACTCCTGTTGACCTACCGTCTAGCGTGAAACAGAAATGTCGCCTTATTTCAAAACGGGGCAAGGGTAAGCTCAACAGACGCGTGCTCGTAAAGCCTGTTTGCAGATAGCATGCTCTGATTTCATAGGCCCCACGTAGGATATTCGAGACAAGGTCACTCCGCGAAACAACCAATGACAAATGTTTAATTTGAATTGACCCAAGTGTGAAAAACTCTAGGCGTTTGGCGGGATTTG